GAGAGTTAGATTGAATTTGAGTTTTCATAATTAGGGATTAATTCTGCTTTCGTATCTGACTTAGTATAAATCTGGGAAGTCTCCCTTTCTAAAGGAAGTGTTGCCCAAATTTCTACTAATTCAGAGAGTTGGACAGAATTTGACTTTCCAGAATTAGAGATTAATTCTGCTTTCATATATGACTTAGTATAAATTTGGGAAGTCTCCCTTTCTAAAGGGAGTGCTGCCCAAATTTCTACTAATTCAGAGAGTTAGACAAAATTTGACTTTTAAGAGTTAGAGATTATTTCTGCTCTCATATCTCGGCTTATATAAATTATAAAAAGACATTTTTCCTACGAGAAGCCCTGCCAAAATTTTCTTAGTTTAGAGGAGATAGATTATATTTTGATAGATGATTCAGGCGATCCACCCAGAATAGGGGAGACTTTGCAGTTGGTCTACCTTCAGCTTAAGCACTGACTTAAAAGTCAACTTAGATTTAGCTAATAAGGAAGTTTTGAGTGAGGATGTATTATGGAGTTGTATTCTCCATACACTTATGATCTTAGTTTGGGAATTGATCTGCCGTGTGTTACAGGTCCTTTTGATCATTTGATCCAAGTTCAGGGCTAGATCCAGCTTGATCCCTTGAGGATCACTTACTGTTTTCACTGATAACAGGTCGGTTGGTGATTCGTCGGTCTACGACTCAATTTCAACTCTCCCTCCACACTCAACCTAAAAGGCTTTAGCCCTGGTGATCTTCGTTGTTTTATTAAGGTTTTCACCGGGACTTTTATTGAATGGCCATTTAACAAAGGTGATAAGTTTTAATTAAGGTTGGTTGGACAGGAGGTTTTGGGGCTTACATGGCTAAAGCAAGGGGTATGAATGTCGAAGGTGGTTGGGGTTGACTCCGTGTAGTGTGTGGGCTGTTGATTTGGTTTGTTGATGTGATGGCAGGTATGTGCTGTGAATCAGATTCTGAATTTGGTTGCCTGCGATCACACATATACGTATTATCGTGAGAGACCCCAGTGAGACCATGAAAAATGATCGTCACATACTTAACCCTTATATATGTATACATGGGTATACTTGGGATGAATGTTTGTATGGGTTGAAGAGCCCCCACATTAAAGTCCGCTCAGAAGCTGAGACTGAGGGGCTTAGGGGAGGTCTCTCCTTCTATTCTGGTCTCTTGCTTTTTTTGATGATTTTCTTAGTCGGACGTTTGGTCGTGGGCCGGGATTCGAGGTCCTTGTCCAGGACATCCCAAGCCCTAGGCTCTGCAGGGGAGGGGTTTTCCCTCGTGAAGAGCCTATTTGATTTACCTACCGAGACACTTAGGTCGAGAGCCTAAGGTGCAGCGGCGGCTGCACGACTTTTCCTTCAGCCGTGCAATGTCGTGAAGGGTTAGGCCCTCACGACTCTTCAAGTCTGACACTTGAGTGTCATAAGCTGTACTTGGATCCATGAGGGACCGCTTGATTATGAGCGCTACATAGTACGCCATCGTCGCGACTGCTTGTGTATGCCTACATTGCAAGTCGATGTGAGTATGCCCTGCGTCCGCGCGGTTTTATACTAAGTTCAGCGCGCGACGCCTATCCGGTTTCCGCACTGGAAAGTTATGGGTTGGCTACCGAGGGGCTAGGAGCGTT